ATTTGGTATCAAATTTATTTATTAAGCGATATATGAAATAAATAAAATTAGGTCAAACCAATGGTTTGTATTGTAGCACTTTTCCCTTCAAGTGCTGATATTAAGTACAGACTATGTATATCTACCACACTATTAAAAATATTTTCATTCATATACGAAACTATTTCTAGCATTGCATATATTTAGGATGAACGATTTATGCAGTCTTTGAAATAAAACAAAAATTAATTTAAAGAGGGCTTAATATAATGCTCGATTTTAAGGGTTAATTGTGTGAGTAAAAAAAAACAATTATATTTTTTAATGTCATGAAATTTCCCGTTAGCTTTCTGCGTTTATAGAAATTTGAAAAAGCTTGCAGTTTCGGAAATACAAGTCGCCAAAAATTCAAATTTTGCAAATTTCAAGAACCCATAACTTGAGAGGGGATGAAGATGAAAATAAATTTTCTTTTAACAAAATGAACAATTTATTAGTGTCTAAAAGCTGGTCAAGTTTCAGGCTCCTATAACCTGGGGTCTAGAAGAAAAACGACAGAAAAAATTTGGAAAAAACGGATTTTAGATAACGGTAAAGTTGAACGTCAATTTTGTTTTTTTAAAGTTTAACTATAGTACGCCGCGATAGGAGAAGCAAGCCACTGTCTTTCTGCGTTTCCCAAAAGATCTTTCCTAAAAAGTTATATGTTCATTGTTTTAATACGAAGAATGTAAATATTAAATTTCAATGAAATTGGTTGATTATTTCTCGTTATCTACGCAAAAATGTATATTTGGCCAATTGCTGAGACCTGATTTCTTCCAAAAGTTAGGACGTTTCACGGACGGACTGATAAAGCTTATATATGAAATTTCAAGTAAATCTGTTGAATATTTTCTTCAAAATTACCTAAAATGTAAAACAGGCCCCCTAAATAATGCAGTTCCCGAGGTCTGATATATTCCAAAAGTTGATCAATCCGTCACATAGTCAAAATAAACTAACATATAAAATTTCATGAAAATCGGTTCAGACGAACTTGGGATACACGCATGCACACAGACGTACAACATACCGACAGACCAACACCTCTCTAAAAATAGTTTATTTATGCTTCCCACTTTCTATGGAGAAGTGCGTTCCTATTTAAAACTCGACATCCAAAATTTGTTGTATATCCTGTCTTGTTGTACACACAATGCTACTGACCGCATTGTGTGTACAACATATTTAATATCTGTCTTTCTGCGTTTCCAAAATTTGAAAAGTGTTTATGGTTTCTTTGCAATAAATAGTTAAAAAAGGCCATTTTTAGGGTTTTAGAGGGGTATAACTTTTAAAGGGGGAGAGATAGGTAAAAAGATTTCTTCTACAGAAATAAGTTTCTAGTAAAGATCTATGTACATATAGAATTTCAGTTTTCTATCTTCAAGGGTGTAGAAGTTTTATAAACATGTCCATAGTCGGACGATCGGACGGACGGACAGAGTGAAGCTAAATAAGCACTTTTTTTTAATTTTTTGAAAAAGTGCTAAAAATGCCTATTTTAGGGTTTTGGGGGGGGTATAGCTTTTAGAGGGGGGGGGGGAGAGAGGTAAAAATTTTCTACAGAAATAATTTTCTAGTAAAGATCTATGTACATATAAAATTTTAGCTTTCTATCTTCAAGAGTGTAAAAAGTTTGTAAACATGTCCACGGACGGACGGACGGACAGACGGACAGAGTGAAATTAATAAGCACTTTTTTTTTAAATTTTTTGAAAAAGTGCTAAAAAGGTTGAAATTACTAGTACTCTAAAGCCTTAAGAAGAAGCTTAAATAATATTCAGACTTTATTTAAGTACAAAAATTACTTTAATCTGCTTACATTCTCGAAAATGAAATCTATGTACACATTCTTGAAAAAAAAAGCTCATCATCTTAAGTTGGTGGTAAGTTGTATGACATTTAAAATTTAACAGTGAATTACTAAATATTTAGTGAATAAAAAAAATTAATTATAAATTTAACAACGAAATAGGAAACTAAATGCTTCCGCTATGTATATCGGCCTGTTAAATCAATTATGAATCAATTCTTTTTTTATAATACGGTTTTAATCGTCAACTTTAATTTAGTTCAATTTCATAATAAAAATATTAAAATGAGAATTATTAATCACAAAAGAACAACGAGAAAAAACAGAGTTGGCCGTATCAACTCTGAACTCTGTAATACCCGTACGAATTTGTTATCCTATGTGCTAGTTATGAATATCCCATAGCTGACTATGATTTTAAGTTGCCATATTACCATGTTGATTTATGCAAAACTTCAGCACTGTATACTTTTTGTGTACAAAATTTCAGCACTTTTCAATATTTTCTAAGATATGACCAAGCTTCTATTGAAGTTCTGCGGCAGCTACCACAAGGGGTCAAGAATTTTCAAATACTTTTATCACACATTACAGCCCTAATAATATACTAGTTTTGATGAGATTTCTATATTATAATCTAATAATTTCTGAGACTTGTGTTGTATGGCAGCTACCAAAAGGAGACAAGCAATTTCAACGACTTTTGTCAAACACATTGGCCCTACCAATACATTTGCTTGTGCAAAATATCAATACCACAGCTTTTATAGTTTCTGAGATATAGCATTATAAATTTGGAAGTTGTATGGCAGGTACCCGAATCAGTACCACGATCATAACTGATTTAAATAGGGTTCTGGTGTTTGGTATAATAAATCATTTGTAAACTTAGATCAATTAGTTTTTGAGTTATCGTTGGGACTTAGAATTCGACACTGATCAAAAACATATACTTGAGTCTATATCTCAGACCAGTACTTCTTAGCGTTACAAATGGTAAGACAGATTTAGTATACTCTTCGAACATATGTTCGTACGCGTATAATTAATAAAATAAATGTGCAAAAATTAATTCAATGTAAAATAACGAAAAATTTTAATGTAGATATTTACAAAAAAAAGGTGCGTGCTTTGATAATAAAAACGAAAAAGAAAACATAATTTATTTCTTTTTTACTTTTGCTTCTAATATTAAAGAAATGGCACCCCTTTTTAACTTTTGCTTTGAGTACTGGTTTTTCTCTCTATTGTATCGTTCTTGAAATAAAGTAAGTGAGCATCTAATCTGAGATAAGTTTATTTGAAAAATTGATATAATTTAAGTAATGGCGAATGGTTTCAAGGACATGTTCGTTTTATGAAAAGAGTTCAGAATAAATTACCTAACCATTGTTTTAGCCGAATAAGCAAATGAGTTAAGAAAAATAATTATACTTTTTGATATTTGCTTCTATTGAAATATTGAAAAGCTTGCATTTTCGCAAATATAAGAAATTTGGAAATCAAATTGCCTTCGATAGTGTTTACTTTTGAACGCAAAATTATAAATCAAACACTGTATTTTTGGTTGTTTCAACTAAATCAAAATGCAAAAATTTACAGCCCTGATATATCCCAAAAGTTGATCGATTCGTGCCATAGTCGAAATAAACTTGCATATAAAATTTCATGAAAATCATTACATATTGGAGAATACATTTACAAGCACCAATATTTTTTCAATTTCTTAAAAAAAAAATAATTTAAAAAAAATTGATCTTGTGTCTGAATAAATACAAATTTTTTTATTCTAGGGTCTTCTGTGCAAAGAAAACTCGCATGTTTCATCAGACATGTGTGTATGAAAAATTAAAAGAAAATGTTTTTAATGTTTTCTGTAATGTTTTTTATACCTCTATATTTTTTTTAAATGCGATACATATATGAAAATTTGAATTTAGAGCATAGCAAAGAATTTTTACTAAATCATAAATTTTTACTATTTAAAAAGATGGGCAGAAGGAAAGAAAATAGAAATCATTTTTAGAAACGAGTTCACAGCGAAATACAGGAAAACTATCAGGAAAATTGAAAAAAATATTTTACACTTAAAATTTTATAAATTTATGTTTGTTTTCTTTTTTGGTTGTTTCCCACACAAGAAAATACAATCCGGTTCTTTCATTGTTTAAATAGTTGTTCAACAGATATTTAGAAAATTTTAATTGATTCGATTTTTTATTGAAATTAATTATTAAAGATCTAATTGTATAAAGACATATACATATCGTCAACTTAGATCAGAAGTATCCTAAGTCCAACTTTTTGAAATGGGGGTTAGGATACTTCTGATCTAAGGTGACGAATGTATGCATGCATGTATTATTATATGCTATTCTTCGAGGACATGTGATTAATAATACGCTTAAAATGTTAAAATAAGTAAAATTTTTTGGAAACAATACGATAATTTGATTTATTTCAATTTTATTTAGCGCAAAATAACTAAGGTGGATCATATTTTAGATATATTTCTTAACTAAGGTGGATCATATTTCTTATATATTTCTCCATATTAATTAAAAGTTATTGATTTTATTATCTTAAGCGGGAAATTTCTAAATCATTCTGCGCTTATTATTAGAAAAATGAGTTTTACCGGTTGCCGTCTCTTTCTTGTTATTATTACGCCTTATCTATTGCTAAATGTAGCACTGATGTATTCTAATTTTTATGTAAATTTTAATTTTTTAAGATTGCCTTTGATTATTTCAGTTATAGGATAACAGTTAATTAGTTAAAATATTTCCCTCGTAGTTTACGTGTTAGATATATGTAATTAGCAAATTTATTTATATCAAATATACATAGATCATTTTTTAGGATATTTTTGATATTTTTTCACGGTTTAAATGGAATACAAAAATTTCATTAGTCTAAAATTTAATTAGATCCATACTAGAGTTTTTTTTTTAAGTTTGTTAAGAAGGTATAGTTTATACTTATGGGAATTTACAAATTCATGCTATGTTGAAATCATAAATATACGAAACATTCATTAACCAATGAATTCAATTTAAACATTCAATGAAAATCAGCACCGTTTCGTAATATTAAGTAAATACTTGCAAAATTCAGAAATAATAGAATTATCAAATTTTATATAATTTTCAAAATAACTCACCTTCTTTTGTTGTTTCTCCCATGCTGGATCCAATAATCCTTCACGCTCCCATTCTTCTTCTTGCTCCATATATCCGTCCCCATAGCCCATGGAGCCGTTTTCCATACCGTACTCCATCATTTTGAATAATAATTTTTATTCAAATGAATATATGTTTTTTTTATTTGTTTAAAATTTTTTTTTTAATAATTTTTTGAATTAATCCGTTTTTTTATTGTTTTTTTTTGTAATAAAAATATGCTTATCGTTTCTTAAACTAAAAAAAAAATCCCTTAAACAACTATCTTGTGAGTTTCGAAACTACAAAAACAAGAAAAGAAAATTAACCGTTATTTTAATTTTTTAGTGTACTTTTATTTTAAATATACTTAAAAAAATTTTTTTATAAAATTTTATCAACTCAATTTGATTTTTAATGTGTAAAAAATATTGCTATATTAAAAGTAAAAAGAAATGATAAGTAAGATAATGATTGTAAGCAATTTTTAAGTTTGTTCAATGGTTAGGGGTTAACTTGTTGAGTAAATTTTTCTGTTACCATTATGGTTTTTTGTTTATGAAATTTTTTTATACTCTTATTTTTTTTATTTGCAAATATCAACGATTATTAAAATAACTACTTTTTGGCCTTCTATTTTTTTAATGACAGTGTTATTTCCTTTTGATTTTTTCTTTTATCTTTAAGTTCGTTCGAATGTTGTTAAATCCTTAAAATATAAGAGATTTCCTTTTTTTGGTTTTTTTTTGAATATGTGTAAATTAAATGAAAATTGTCAAAGATAAAATTGAATAACATACAATTATTAATTATGAATTTAAATATTTATTTAATTTAATTAGTATATAGCTAATAACAAAATAAACTTACAAAAAAGAAAGCGATATTCAATTTAAATAAGTTGGGTCAAACCAATGGTTTGTATTGTAGCACTTTTCCCATCAACAAGTGAAAACACTTTTCCAAAAAGAATCTAGGTATACCTACTATACTACTAAAATACTTTTATCATATACGAAACTATTTCATTAAGGATTGCATATATTTAGGATGAGCGATTTACTCAACTTTGAAATAAAGCAAAGAAAATTCAAAGATGTGTTAACATAATGCTCGACTAATTGTGTGAATTAAGAAAAATAATTATATTTTTTAATGGCATAGAACTTACCGTTAGTTTTCTCCGTTTATAGAAATGTGATAAAGCTTGCGGTTTCGGAAATATGAGGCGCTAAAGCTTTAAATTTTACAAATTTCGAAAGGCGATAACATGAGAGGGGGTAAAGTAGGAAAAAATTTTCTTCTAACGAAGTAAGCTATTTATTAACGTCCAAAAGCCGTTAAAATTTCAGACCACTGCACAGTACGGTATAAAAGAAAAACTGTATCAAAAATTTGGAGAAAACGAACTTTGATTACGGTAAATTTTAGCGGCCATTTTGTTTTTTTAAAGTTCAAGTATGGTATGCCGCGGTAGAAGAAGCCCGTTAATTTTGGAAAATTTGATAAATGTGTATGGTTTCATTACAATAAATAGTTAAAAATAGAATCTTTAGGGTTTTGGGGGGTATAACTTTTAGAGGGGGGAAAAGGTAAAAAAAAATTTTTTCTACGGAAATAAGTTTCTAGATCTATGAATTTCAGCTTCGCATTTTATTCCGGCGGACGAACGGACAGACGAACAGACGGCCGGACGGACGGACAGAGTGAAACTAAGAAACACTTTTTTTCAAAATTTTTTTGGAAAAGTTCTAAAAACTATATGTAATTTTGAAAAAGCTGTACAAAGTAGTTTATAAATATTTCATAAAAATAAGAAAAACAAACTTAAATAATATGTAATTGACTTTAAATTTAATTTTTTTTGAACACTTATTAATTAATTTATTATATTTTTCTTTATTTTTTAAAAAAGTACTATTGAAAAATATTTAAAGAAAGGTGCAATCTCAGTTATTGTATTTATTATATACATATGTTTTGTTGAATGAACATAATTTTTTTAAATAAATTTTAATATTAAACCGGATATAAGTTAATTAATTAACATAATTATAAACAGGAAAACAATTTAAATAGCAACTTTAAAAAATTAGCGATTTCGTAAACGATCAATATGATTTTTATCATAATTTATAAAACCTAACATATAACTTGTATTATCATTGAAAAATTTTCGTCGGTGTGTGCTTACTTAATATCCTCGGTAAATAAGGTAAAACCGTCTATGTAAAAATAAAATAATTCCGACTATATTATGTTCAAAAATATATACTAATTTTCATTTTGAAGACCTTATTTAAAATCGAATTGGTAAAACAAAGTGCTTATACGAGTAATCGAACGTTAATATTTTTTGCATAAAAATTTAATATGTTTTTTTTTAATACTTTTTTATACTTGACTCGAGTTTCAAAAGAAGAGTATGCTTTAAAAAAAAATAAACTGGTTAAATGTTTTGAAACGTTAATTGATCATTTTAATTTAAAATTTCAGCGTTAAAAGAAAAGTTTCTGGAGAATTTAAGTGCTGTAATATTGCGACTTTTTGCTAAAACGATTAAGGAAATTTTATCTAATTGACACAAATATGTTTATATAATATGATAAATATCCTTTGTTACAAAAAAATTCCACTAACAAAATATTTATGTGCACAAAGTATCGGCATTCAAATAGGCAAATATTTATTATTATTTAAATATAAAAATGTCGAATAATTTAATTATACGAGTATATTAGGAAATTATACTTTAAAAAATTCAAAATTAAAAAGTAGCTAAATTATATTGAAAATTATTTAAAAATATTAATGAAAATATTTATTTATTTAACTTTTATATTTTATATTATATAAATTTATTAATAAACAAAAGCAGAACTTTAACAAAAAATGTTCAAATCACATTTATTATTTTAGTTGGCTGAATGTTTCTATAAAACAATAATGGAGCAATCCAAAATTTTACGTTTTTCTAAAAGGAAATTAAATAAACTTTACATAATGATATATTCTAATTTAAAATGATTAAAGAATATAAAGAAATTAAGAAATTATTTTTAAAGCATTATTATATAAAAATAACTTCAATCTCTTTATTATTTTTAATCAACATTTTAATTGAATTATGTAATATTTCTGATATTTTTTTAATCATTTATTTATTTTTAGAGTAAAAAACAAAATTATTCTATTAAATTTGATATTATCCAAAAATCTACTCAAAAATTTGTTTTTAAGTAATAAAATGTGTAAATGTATAACGAGGAAACTTTATACTACGTATCATAAGGAAACATAGATAAAAGGATTAATCGACGTTTTTTTAAGTATTATTATTTGATTTAGCTTCGAAATCATATATACAACATTAGTAATTTTAGGTATTTGATTTTAATGAAAAACAGTTGTTGACATTCGTCAATTCGGCCCACGCAATAAGTTATATTATTCACTCGGTTTTACAATCAATGAATAAAAATGCATGAAAAAGAAACAAATTTTACTTAAAAATAAATTTTCTATTTTAAAATTATTATTTATAAAATAAATTGTTCTATTTAAAATCAAATGAATTCAAGAAATTTTTGATGGTGTTGTTGATAATATTGCTACGTCAGTTGAAATTTACCATAAATAAACGACCATTTAGCGTCATTAAAAAAAATTTTGATTTAGTATAACCAGATGTGAAGGATGAGAAATTAAAAATATTTTTGCAATAAGTGTATTGAATGAAAAGGAAATTAGATAAATTACTTTCTCATTATCATTTAATGAAATAAGAATTCAGTAAATAATAAGTACACTTAAGGTGTAACAATTTTCTACGATGTGACAGAATATTATTTATTAAATTAATTTAGTTAAATTTAATTGACTACTTATTCATCTTGAATTTTAATTATAAAAGAAATGCATAATTATGTAAAGTATACAAATTCTTTTTTATAAAAATAATTATAAATATGCAAATTTTATGAAAGTACTTCGAAAATCGAAAATTAAGTTTTGTTGTTGAAATAAATTCCAAGATGTATTCAATTTTTGCATGATAAGAAGAAACTTAGTAAATTTTGAATTTTGCAAGGAAGCAACAAATAGTTGAAATTTGTAATTTTGCTCATCAAGTTATCATACATAATTCGCATAAGCACGTTCAGCATAATACTTCGATAATCGGACTTTTCAATATTTCAGTTTCTACTGTGATGATTTTTTCTTTCAGAAATCTCCTAAATTTAAAGTAAACACTAAATTTCTTTCTCAAATAAATTTTGATTCTAACTAATATTTATTCGTATCCAATTAACATTCGCAATAAATAAAATTTCAAAAATAAATAATTTTGAGAGTATTTCTCTAAGAGAATAATTATAAGCCTTCGAAATGTCGTAAAAAATATTTTATGATTAAACGAAGTATTAAAAGCAGAATGAGAAACACGATTTTTACTTTCAATATTTTAAAAAGCTTTTTTATTATTATATATTAAAGTATATATATACTTATGTATTTACATAAATTTTTGTTTAGCTATAGTGAAAGTTAACGTTTATAATAATATTCTATTTAGTCATAGATGAGTTACACACATAATTACTAAAAATATTTATAACATTTCTATTCATTCTTGAACATCTGCAATATTTTATAAATATGAAGATATGTCGAACGTTTAAATAAAAGTTGTTATGAACGAAATATAAACTGAAGTATTAAATATATATTGCATATTAATTTTTTTTAAGATGGTTAATATTTATGGGAGTTATAGCCATTCAAATTGATACACCTTTTTGTCGAAACCAAAAAATTTTCAAAAGGGATTTTTGGGATTAAATATTCATTTGACACACCTTTCTGCTCCCAAGAAATTATACCACGTTACAGGTTCACCCTGTATAGTATATGTGTTTGTTCATATTTGTGCAAGTAAGTACCTGTATATATATGTATGTTTTCCTATTCTAAAAATATTCTCAAAATCAAAGTGAAATTTATAAACTTTTACAGCAAACATTAACAGATTTAAAAAATAAGATAATTTTATTTTTGATGTTTTTATAACTTTTTAAAAGTTTTAAGATATTAGTCAGACACCATAACTGAAGAAATATTAATGTGTAAGTTTAAAATTCAAATAAAATAATTGAAATAACAATAAAACTGACAATAACAAAAGTAGTTAACCGGAAAACTTTCAATGATAAACATTACATAATTATTATTCTCAGTTTTCCGGTTAAGTTCTTGTCTTTTTTGAGGCATGGGTTCCATAGTTATTTAAGGATTACATATGTAACTCAAAATTTCAAATATTGAAATTACATTTTCAATTTTCAAATTCATCATTTAATTGGGACAACAATTGTTTGATAATAAGTAATTAAGTATCTAATATTTATTAACAAAATATTTTTTTTTCAAATTGGTAACAAATGGTTAATAAGGTATACTTATAGGCAGAAATATAAATACATACATTCATCGTTACATCATATAAGTACATACATTTAAATTTATGTATACAAAAATATAGATATAAGTAAATATTTTAATGATCACTTGCAAAATGCGCATAGGGAAGCGAACGATACAAATTTACATATTATATATATATACATGTGTATAAATTTCTAACCAAAAACTTCTTTGTAACGAATATTATGTGTGTGTCCAATATTATATTAATTATTAAAAATATTGGCATACGTTATTTACACATACATAAAATTTCGCAAAAAAACTTAAATCTTATAAAAATGATATGTTTCATACATCATTAGTAGAAACTTAATTTACCCATTTTTATTACAATGTGTGTCCTTTTTTATTACAATCATTAAAATAATCATGACTAGTTTCGTTATCTTTCATTAAAAAAATCAATTCGTTATAAATAAGTCCTAAAAATAGGAGATTTTGCAAGTTTCACCCACCGATATGTCATGCATCCTGCTTTTGGTGCGATTTATTGTGAATTCGTCATCCTACTGTTTAATAAAAAAATTTGAGCACCAATTAAAAAACAAAAAGAAAAAACAGAAAAAAAAGAAAAAATATGAAGATTTTAATCTTCAAAAAGAAAATTTGTACAAAAATTGAATTTTTGTATATATATTGTACAATATATATACAACATACATGTTCATATCACACACATATTATTATATTCATCTACCATAATTCCGCCTCCACTATGTCCTTGCAAAAATTAAGAAATTCTTGAATTTTTTTTTTGCGCTTATTTTAAACACATATTGAAATGTATGTTTATACATATGAACGAGGGTTAACCTCAAAATACATCCAAATAAATACTATGAAACAAAAAAAGTTAAAAATAATTCGTATCATGTGAATTTTTTTGCTTATTTTTTGCTTAGCTCTTTCATTTACATATGTACATATTTCATTGAAAATATCTTAAATGTTCTGTTTTTAAATTAAAATGAGTTTCTGTTTAATTTTAATGATGACTATATATTAGTGTTCATTACAATTTTTAAAATATTTTTCTCATTTTAGTTTTCAATATTTTTATATTAATAAAAACACGATTTTAAAATAATTATAATTATAAATTTTAATAATTTTTATATAAAAAATGTGATTTTCTTTTTTGAATTTCAGATGTAATAATATATACATATATGAATATTTTAGATTTTTTAATGTAATAAGTATTTTAAATTTTTTTCATTAAAAAAGTATAAGAAATTGCTTTAACTTTATTTATATAACATTGATTGCACCTTTTTTAAAAATAAATTTTTTTTCCATCAAATTTTGTATATTTATAAAGTATGTGTAATGAAAATTTTAAAATATTCACAATAGATTTTATTCAATGTGATATTTCAATATTAAACTTATTTTATTTAAATTTTTTTATTTGTTTTAATCTTGAGTAATTTAGAAGAATAAAATGATTTGCTCATTATTTTTAATATTGTAAATTATAAAAATTTTACAAACACATTTTTTAATCTTTTGCAATTACATATGTATTTTAAAATGTTTGTTTTTCTCAATTGTTTTACATTTTTGAACACACAAGTGCTTTAATAAACTTTATTCTGAAACGGTTTTTTTTGTTTTCCTATGTATTGTAAATTTTGATTTTGTAAGCATTTTTTTTTGAATTTTTTTTGTATGACATTTACTTTGTTAATACGAGTATTAATATTATTTTTTTTGAGTTTTAAATACTGTATGTACATATATATGTATAAAAGCAAATTTTATTGATAGATTTAAAAATTGTACTACTTTTGAGAGGAAAAATAAGTATTTTTACAAAAAAATAGCTACATAAATATAACAGATCATATTATTTACAAAAAGAATATTTTTATTTATAATTTTGGTTGTGTAACAATTTTTTCATTTATTTAAAAAATATATATGCATACATGAGTATATATGTATGTAAATTATACATACAGAAATTATATATATAATTTTTGTTTTACTTTTTATTTGCTGAAATTTAAAAATAGCAAAATTTTTAAAATAGAAAAAATTATATGGATGTATGAACGTATAAATGACTACATTTTTGTATATGATATTTTTTGGTATATATATATTATAATTTAAAATTAAAAAATTAAAAAAAAAGCTAGGGATCATATTATAAAAATATAATATTTAAGGTTTTTTGTGTACATATATATGCACATATATATATTTATATTTATTTAGAAGAATTTTACAGTTACTTTATTTTATAAATGGAATTTTGTGTATGAGAATTTAAAATTTTTTTTTCAAATTAGATCAAATATTTAGCATTTTTTTTCCAATTAAAAAACCATAAAAATATATAAAAATTATTGAAAAAAAAAAATACATATAGCATATAAAAACTAAGTAAAATAAAAAAACTTTTTAATTTTATGAAAAATAAAAATTAATAATAAACAATAATAATAGTGAAACCGTACGTTTATTGTCGATATGAGAGAATGACCCGCTCGCGTTGGTAGCCAACTCAAAACTGAAAATAAATTCATTAAATTAAACGACATTTTTTTTCCATTTTCCTGATCTTTTTTTTTTTTTTATTTTTGTGTGTGTTTATTTTCTATTTATTTTCAATTCTCATACATACTATTCTTTAAATTCTTTGTCTCTGTTGCGCGAGTATATTTTATTCAAAATCTATAGAACTATAGAAGCAATAACTCAAGCACTAATATACAGGGTGTTTAAAACAGTGCTGCCAAACGTAAAATTTCCATTATACTTGTACTATTTTCGAGACTCTTGTTCATGTACAATTTTTTTAATCAGTTTTAATTAAAATGTACCATTGGTGTATTATGTTTAAAACACATTTAACATGTTTTACTGGTAAAATTACAAGAGATAGAGGAAAATATTATATGGGTCGCTACAAGGATATAATATGAGGAAAATATTATATTCTTGTAGCACATCGAAATGACCCAAAAAAAATTAATAATAAAGCAAATTTTCGAGAAATTTCGAGATATTTAAATAATCAAAAACAAATATTCTGGTTTTGACGGGTTTTACCTCAAAAACTATGGCTCAAATCAAATTTATTGTAAGACAGAAAATAAAGAGCAGCCAAAATAAAACTGCATTTATTTGTAGGAAAAATCTGATAACTTTTTTTCAACAGACTGTAGGTCGAAAACGAGTATATCTGAAAGATCTCCCCCTCAACCAATAAAATGTTTTTGCTGAAAATTTATCAAATATTCTTCCTCGAAACTATTTGTCACCTTATGCGAAACACCCTGTATATTTATGTCTGTATGTTTATATACAATCATGTAAAAACTTATCTAAAATGTTGTACAAATTTAAAGATATGTATGTATTATTGAAAAATAAAACTTCAGTTTACTTCATATATATCACGGAAGATTTTTCAGTACCATTGTTGAGCTTTTTGGCTTTTTAGCTAGTATGTATTAAGGTATTTAAAAACCTTTTTAGTACTTTCGAAAATAATTCAGTTTTTATAGTTTAAATTCCACAACACTAATTTTTAGAAATAAGTTAAAAAAAAAACTTTCAAATATACTTGAGAAGGTGAGGTCAATCTGAGTCAATAAAAATAAATTCGATTTCGGAGCTTAAAAAATGCTTTGACATTTTTACATTACATTTCCATATAACTACCACGCGAAAAAATCTTTAAAATGTGATTTTTTTTTCTGAATGATTAATATAATAATACCTGTCTATCTGAGTAATTCTACAAAGTAAACCCTGTAACAAATATATAAAAACAAGCAGCTGAAATGTCCAAGCTAATTTTATAGTACACATATGCATATTTACGTAGGTGAACACATGAATATCGACCAAAAACGGATCCTTGAACAGATCGGCATTTAAAACGGAACGAAAATCTTAAAAAATTTAAAAAAATTTAAATATTCAATTCGAACTAATAAATAAAGTTAAAAAAAATTGCTTTTAAAATAATTATCATAAGCAAAAGTAATGAAATAGCGTTACCTTTTGAGGCCACGGTCCGTTATGAATTCTTATGAAGTCACTTGTTTATAGAAGTTGAAGGAACACGATTTTAGCACTGTAAAAATCTTCGAAACAACTTGGAAAGGACGGAAATCTTGTAAAAACAGGAAACTACGATAAGATTTTTATATTTATTAATTTAACTCAAAATGAACATATTGGCTCGTACAGAGCGTTACAAATCAAATATACTTTTATACGTAGAAAGTTTTTTTTGGGGGAAAAAGATACTTTTATGCGCAAAATAAGAAAAACACATCGGAGTTATATACCTATACTCACTTCACGCATCATTCACCAATTGTACCATTTACAGTTTTTCGAAAGTTTTAATTAATATACCACCACTGTATGTTGATACAGGTATATATAAAGGTGTGCTACATTCAATATGTCAACGTTATTCCCGTACTACACATTCTTGTACAAATGTTAACAGTTTATAGAATAGTGCAGAAATAAGTACCAAGATAAAACAACACCTTAATATAAGAAAAAATACTCAGAGCAGAAAAAGAAACAAAATATTATTTTTATATTTGAAAGGTAGTTGGTAATATCATGGGCAGCTTTTTAGATATTTAGACAGGGGGCAGCCGTCATCAAATTGTTGTGTTGATTGTGTTTGTTTTTGTACTTATTCTCTTTTAGACAATTGAAAGTGGGTGCTTCAATCAACGATTTTATAAATATTTATATTTCAATAAATATTTATTGATTAGAATTCTACAATATTTGCTACACATAATGTTAGTGACAATATACACTTACAATATTTTAAATTAGCATGTCAAAATCGAATGTATTTTTTGGTTTTTCAAATTTAAAAAAAAGCAAATAAATTTATATACTTATGTATGTACATTTGAGCCATATTATGATCCATAGCACAATTTTAAATGAACAAAATTAAATCTCTCTTATACACAATACCGTATCTCATATTCATATAAAAAACTCAATTTCCAGTTGAAATTTTATGTAGAACATGTGTATTGCACATTAGTACACGTTTGCATATTATACAAATTATTAGGCATATGCATAATGAACAGTTAATAGCTGCGTTAATACAACATTTGCTCCACTTAAAAGCTTTTTTTTTCTTAATTTGATCCGATTTGACTAGAACAATGAATTTGTTCATTAAATATTTTGTAATAAAATAAAAATAATTGAAGAATTGAAATGGAAAATACAAGAGAGTAGAGAGTATATTGAAAATACTTTCTCTCCCTGAAGAATTTACTAAAAATAGGAAAAAAAAACCAATTTAAACTGGAAAAAGCTCTATTTCAAGATCAAACCGATATAATTACACCTACATACATACGCCTAAAACGCTTGTAGAGGGAAAATTTTGAGAAATTTAAAAATAACAAGAAGAAAAAGAAAAGAAGCTTTTTTCAATTCAGTCAACTGTTATCAGAGCTGTCGTTTGATTTTTTCGATGGGGAGCCAAAATATTCAGAAGATAGAGCCATATTTAAAAAGGGGGAGCCCAATTCTATATTTCATACAAAAACATATAAATTGTTCAAAAAAATATTTCATACAAAAAAAAAATCAGAAAAACAAAAATTTTAAACAGAAATTATAAACAAAAAAATAAAAAAAATTCACATTAAAAAAATATCACAATTAAAACTTAAACTTAAAATATGTAATATTTTTAAAAATGAAATTTCATAAACTACTTATATGCAGACATTATTTATGTGTTTTTACATTTCAAAGTTTAGACTCTGTTTATAGTGATTGTACAAATTGCAATATTGTCGTCTATTTTAAAAATTCTACCGACGCGTTTCCACAAATTTTACTAAAAAATATGACGTGTCTTTTAAATTAGCAGAAATTAGTACTTACATACGTACATAGCCGTGGTTTGGCAAGTTTTGTACTTGACAAATTTATATTTGTTTATTTGTACAAGTTTTGCTTATTTAGAAATTATATTTTTAAACTGAAAAAAATTTTTAAGAAAAATTATCAAATCTTTTTTTTTGGATTTTGACTGAGGAAAAAGGAAAATCGGAGCCAAAATGCAAAAGGAGAAGCCGGGGACATAAATTTTCAATTCGGAGCACTGACTGTTATACATTATCATATATATATATATAAGCTTTCTTTCATTTATAACTTCGTTCTATAATAAAAGTAATATAACGTGTATGTAGATATATACATACGTACGTATGTGTATTTAATTTAAGACATGCGTTGAAAAAAAATCTTAAGTTAATTAAGAAGAAATTAAACTAGTTAGTAAGTTAATTAATTTTATTTTATAATAATATAAAAGCTATTTCATTAAGGATTGCATATATTTAGGATGAACGATTTATGCAGCTTTGAAATAAAGCAAAAAATATTTAAAGAGGTTGCTCGATTTTAATGGTTAATTGCCTGAGTTAAAATAACTAATTATACTTTTAATGCCATAGAATTTGCCTTTAGTTTTCTGCGTTTATAGAAATTAGAAAAAACTTGCTGTTCGGAAATATAAGGCGCCAAAACTTCAACGAAATGAACTATTTATTAACGTCTAAAAGCCGTTGAAATTTCAAGCTCCTGCAAAGTACGGTATAAAAGAAAAGCTGTATCGAAAATTTGGAAAAAACGAACTTTAGATAATGGTAAATTTTAGCAGCCATTTTGTTTTTTTAAAATTCAAATATGGTATGCCGCAGTAGAAGAAGCTAGCTACTATTTTTCTTAGTTTGCAGAATTTGAAAAATGCAAAGTCAGAAAAAATGGTTTCATTGCAATAAATAGTTGAAAAATGGCATTTTTAGGATTTTGGGGGGGTGGAGTATAACTTTTAGAGGAGGAGAGACAGGTAAACATTTTTTTTCTACGGAAATAAGTTTCTAGTAAAGATCTGTGTATATATGAAATTTCAGCTTTCTACCTTTAAGGCTGAAACAAATCGGCTTCTATTCAAGTTTAATTTTCGAGTCCTGGCTTTTAAAAAATTAACTAGAGCTTGTTTAAGTGATATGATCTGAGTATACACAAAACTTTGAATTGTATATTTGTTGCCTATTAATTGCAGTTCGCGAACTTATTTTTCTGAATCGTGAAATAAAATAAGCTTGAGCAGCTCTTGTTGAAAACAAGCTAATTTTATGCATACTAAAAACACAAAACTGCATGACTTTAACCCTGGATGATTCATAATAAATGCTTTCTCTTAGTCAAGTTTTGTACATACAAATTGCATTCATTACAAATCAGCAAGAAATGAAATAAATAACTGTTGAAAATTAAATCATATAGTAAGTACCAAAAGCCAATGATAAATGATAATAACTTACAGTGTTTACTTTAGAAAGATGCTGAGATGCCTCTCCAGATACAGATATACTTTTATTACAACCACAAAACTATATGTTCTGTAATCTTTATACCTAAGATTTTCTGTTAGAACATGATACTCGCATCTACATCTTTGCTACTACGACTAAAACACGATTGA